AAGGATGAATATAGGCAAGCAACACGGGAATGCAGGGGCAAGATTAGAAAGGCAAAGGCACAAAATGAGATCAAACTAGCTACAGGCATAAAGGGAAACAAGAAGACCTTTTATAAATACATTAAAAGCAAGAGGAAGACCAAGGACAGGGTAGGCCCACTGCTTAGCGAGGAGGGAGAAGCAGTAACAGGGAACTTGGAAATGGCGGAGATGCTCAATGACTTCTTTGTTTCGGTCTTCACCGAGAAGTCTGGAGGTGTGCCTAACGTAGTGAATACAAGCAGAGAGAGGGTAAGTTTAGAAGATAGGATACACAAAGAACAAGTTAAAAATCACTTAGGAAAGTTAGATGTCAGCAAGTCACCAGGTCCTGATGAAATGCATCCCAGGATACTCAAGGAGCTGATAGAGGAGGTATCTGAGCCTTTAGCTATGATCTTTGAAAAATCATGGCAGACAGGGGAGATTCCAGAAGACTGGAAAAGGGCAAATATTGTGCCCATCTATAAAAAGGGGAATAAGAACAACCCAGGAAACTACAGACCGGTCAGTTTAACGTCTGTCCCAGGGAAGATAATGGAGCAGGTAATTAAGGAAATCATATGCAAACACTTGGAAGGTAATAAAGTGATAGGGAATAGCCAGCATGGGTTTGTGAAGAACAAGTCATGCCAAACTAATCTGATAGCTTTCTTTGATAAGATAACGAGCCTTGTGGATAAGGGAGAAGCGGTGGATGTCATATACCTAGACTTTAGTAAGGCATTTGATACGGTCTCGCATGATATTCTTATTGATAAACTAGGCAAATATAACTTAGATAGGGCCACGATAAGGTGGGTGCATAATTGGCTGGATAACCGTAGTCAGAGAGTTGTTGTTAACGGTTCTAAATCCTGCTGGAAAGGGATAACAAGTGGAGTTCCTCAAGGGTCTGTTTTGGGACCCATACTGTTCAACATCTTCATCAATGATGTAGATATTGGGATAGAGAGTACGCTTATTAAGTTTGCAGATGATACCAAACTGGGTGGGGTTGCAACTTCTTTGGAGGATAGGGACATAATTCAAAATGACCTTAGCAAGTTAGAGAAATGGTCAGAGGTAAACAGGATGAGGTTTAATAAAGAGAAATGCAAAGTGCTCCACTTAGGAAGGAACAATCAGTTCCATACATACAAGATGGGAAGCGACTGTCTAGGAAGGAGCATGGCAGAAAGGGATCTAGGGGTCATAGTGGACCACAAGTTGAATATGAGTCAACAGTGTGATGCTGTTGCAAAAAAAGCAAATATGATTCTAGGTTGTATCAACAGGTGTGTTGTAAGCAAAACTCGTGAAGTCATTCTGCCGCTCTACTCTGCACTAGTTAGGCCTCAGCTGGAGTACTGTGTCCAGTTCTGGGCGCCACATTTCAAGAAAGATGTGGAGAAATTGGAAAGGGTACAGAGAAGAGCAACAAGAATGATTAAAGGTTTAGAGAACATGACCTATGAAGCCAGGCTTCATGAACTGGGCTTGTTTAGTTTGGAAAAAAGAAGATTAAGGGGGGACATGATAGCGGTTTTCAAATATCTAAAAGGGTGTCACAAGGAGGAAGGAGAAAATTTGTTCCTCTTGGTTTCTGAGGACAGGACAAGGAGTAATGGGCTTAAAGTGCAGCAGGGGAGGTTTAGATTGGACATTAGGAAAAAATTCCTAACTGTCAGGGTGGTCAAATATTGGAATAAATTGCCAAGGGAGGTGGTGGAATCTCCCTCTCTGGAGATATTTAAGAACAGGTTAGATAGACATCTGTCAGGGATGGTGTAGACAGAGCTTGATCCTGCCTTGAGGGCGGGGGGCTGGACTCGATGACCTCTTGAGGTCCCTTCCAGTCCTATTATTCTATGATTCTATGAAAAGCATGAGTGGCGTGGAGAGGGTGCATAAAGAAAAGTTCTTCGTTAGTTCCCATAATAGAAGGACGCGCTGAGCCGACAAACAGCTGATCAGCTGTTTGTCGGCTCAGTGCGGCAGCCATGTAAATTTAAATGAAGCGGTGATTATTTAAATCGCCGCTTCATTTTCCTATGTCTGGTAGCCTAATCTACATGCCTCTGGTGACAGAGGCATGTAGTCTAGACGTACCCTTAAGCTGAGTTTCATTGCTGTCCTCACAGAGGGAGGTCAATAAACACTCCTGTCGACTTCCCTTACCCTTCACAAGGAGTAGGATTTCCAGCATCGACAGGGGAGCCTCTAGCATTCAATTTAGTGGATCTTTAGCAGAACTGCTAAATCGAACTCCAGAAGATCGACTGCCACAGCATCTATCTTCTGGGAAGTGAAGATGTGGCCTTATTTTGAATACAAGCCAAGATGGGGAATTTAACTTCTTCCAGCACTTCCCTGTCTCAGTCACTGTGTGGCAGTAGAACACAGCAGCATTATTTAAAATGTTGATGTTTAAAGGCAAAACTTCAAAAATTAACCAGGTACACTAGGTGGGGCCAAGGGGTTTGAAGTGTAGGATGGGACTCTGGGCTGAGGCAGGGGTTTGGAGTGTGGGAGGGGATACAGACTCTGGACTGAGGTGAAAACACCAGGGTGGGCCAGGGTGAGGGCTACACCTGGAGGTACCAGCTCAGGGACTGGGCTCGGGATGAGCCCCAGGCTGGAGCCAAGAAGTTCAGAGTACAGGAAGGGACTCAGAGCTGAGAGTTGTGTGATCCAGCCAATGGAAGCTGCAGAGCTGATGCTCAGGATTGGGGCAGTGCATGGAGCCCTTGTGACTGCCTCTACACCTAGAAACTTGAGCAACATACTCTCTGCTTTCCAGGAGCTACACAGAGCTTCATAGGGACCTTGCCAGCCCTGTACTAAGGATGTTAAATTGTATATAATTGACTAGTCGAGTAGTCAATGGAATTTCCATCAACTACTCGACTAGTCAATAGTTACTTGCGCATTCCACTAATCGATAGTCATTTCCACATCCCGCTGGGGCTCTTTTACATTTCAAAGGAGGAATGCAGAACTCCGCGTGTAGCCTGGGGCCAGTAGGAAATCCCACTGACTCTGGGCTGCACGCAGGCATGTCAGCTTTGAAGTGTACAAGAGTCCCCAGCAAGGACTCTTGTGCATTTTAAAGCCATGGAGCCCAAGGTCAGCGGGGAACTCAGAGTCCCCCGCTGACCCTGGGCTCCATGATGCACTGAATGCCGCGCAGAGCTTGGGGTCATCTAGGGACTCCTCAGCTGACCCCAGGTTCCGAGCAGCACTTCCCCAGAATGGGATCAGCTGGGGAGTCTCCAGTTGACCCTGGGTTCTGGGGAAATGCCATGGGGAACCGAGGGTCAGTTGGGGGTTCCCCAGCTGATCCCGGGCTCCACACCGCTACCCCTTTGAAACACCGAGGTGGTGTTTCAAAGGGCAGCCACAGCACAGCTGATCCCTGGTTCAGCTGTGTGGCGCTCCCCTTTAAAATGCCGCCTCGATGTTTCAAAGGGGCAGTGCCGTGGAGCCTGGGGGTCAGCTGGGGACTCCCTAGCTGATCCCAGGTTCCCCATGGCATTTCCCCAGAATCCAGGGTCAACTGGGGATTCCCCAGCTGATCCTGGGTTCTGCTGAAATGATGCAGGGATCCAAACTTTTATGATTCAGTCAGGTCTCATGCTCACTTTCTAAATGGCTACAGGATGTGAGAATTAGACCCCTGTCTGAAATTAATGGAATGTTCTTAAGTAGTTCATTTTTCACTCACTGAAGAATATCTGAGCGGGAGTAAAAAATGGAGTTTTGTATTTGCCAAAGAATGACACTCTGTGGGAACCTCGAGGACTCTCAGATATTTTCATCTGTGAAATAGCCTCCTTCAATCCATAAAATGGAACAAAAAGATTTAGTTTACTGCTGTTGCATTCACAATGCAAAAAGACAGCATCAGAACCTCCATGTCCTTCTCTTTAATGTACATAAAACAGCACATTCAGAAAAGTAAATCTCTAGCTCTAAACTGATGTCACTCAGTGGCGTGAAAAAAAAAAGCCCCGAGTAACAGGTTTCACCAGAAGAAGCACAGCACTACATCAGCGGGAAAGCTTGTACCATCAACATAGCTACTGCCATTCCTTGAGGTGGATTTTACTGCGTCAATGGGAATGCTCTCTCTCACAGGGATAGAGTGACTATACGAGCAATATTACAGCAGCGCAGTTGCATCAGTACACCTTTGCCACTGTAAACATAGCCTCAGTTTCCAATTATTTCCTTTTACTCCACATATGCAAAAAACACTTTCTAAACACAGTAGGGGCTAATCAGCAGTTCTATTATTATTGCCTTCTGCATCATTCAACGAGGCAACCTAACACAAAAGACTTCAGACGTGCAAGAACAGAGTAATCATGTCAACATATTTTCTGCTCAGAAAGGATTTAGAATTTAGACACAGCTGGAGCTTCCTGATTGGCTGTCAGTGATGCCATAACCATGACTATAATGCTTAGTAATTGCACAGGGCTAATTTGCTTCCTTTTAAACTTGTAAATGCTAGTCCACAATAGCACTAAGACATGCCATACAGTGTATTTCAAAGGGATTACTTCACTTTTGGGTGATTAAAGCTACTCCTCATTCATCTTTAGAAAAAGTGGCATAGAAGTAATTTCAGATATGCAGCATACCTTTATCCATCTATTAAAATGCTCCCGCCACATCCCCAGCATGGGTATAGCTGCGCCTTTCCCTCTTTCCAAACAAAATTATCTTGTTTTTTTCTCATCTCATATACACAAATCTTTGTCCATTTCTCCCTCCTTCTTCCTCCTCCCTCTGATCAATTGCATGGTTCCCTCCCTTTTCTTCAGAAAGACCAGCCATTTGTCCTGCCCCCTCTCCCAGATGGTGAAGTGGGAGCATTGCTCAGGCTTATTTTTATTAACACTTAGCTAAATTTCCTAAATTGTACTGTGATTCTTCTGAAGGTTTTAAGAAAGAACAGCCTTTATTATTTTTACCTATAGGCACCTTTCCTTTCAATTTTCTTAAATTCTGGGTAGTCTTATTGTCTCCATCCTCTTCACTCTTTTGTACAAGTCCAATGACATCTATGTGGTCAGTTCTCTCAGCAAATGCATGGAATCTGTAATATAAAATAGGTTTTCACGTCTAAGTAATTTATGTAAATCATCCTTAGTTTATCCCTTCATTATGTACCTCTGAGCATCTTTGCTGTCCTTCTGTAGAACTCATTGATTTCTTGTTACTCTATATCCATATAGTGAAGAGGCCAGAAATTGGGTACTTGAGAAGAGGGAATACCGTTCTTCAATATGAAGACACTAGCATAAATGCTCTAAATTGTTTAATTATTCATGTCAATGCATCAAGCTTATTATTAGCTCTTACCTGATGCAGCATGCTGATCAGGAATATTTTTTCAAGTATCCAAGGGTATGTCTACACTAGCTCGTTAATTTGAGCTAGGTAGGCAAATGATGCGACTGGAGAGGCAAATGGAGCCCAGAATTTAAATATCCTGGGCTTTATTTGCATGTTCCCGTCCAGTCGCCATTTTGAAATTTCACTAGTCTGAACTCACTGCCGCGCGGCTACAAGCAGCAGTGAAACATTAATTCGAACTAAATCCTTAGTTCGAATTAACTGTTACTCCTCATGGAATGAGGCCCAACCAAAAAAAAAAAAAAAAAAAGACAATTGGTTGCCAAGCCTCTGGCAAAGCATATAAGTAGGAGATAAACTTTGTGCAATATATCTCAAATAAAAAGCCCTTTCCAAAAGCCACTTGGGACTCTGGGAGAGTTTCTACTAATGGACAAGACTACTCCATCCATGGTTCAGGGTAAAACAATGATTGTTTACTATGCACCTGAAACCATATAGAAGGAAGGACTGAGGGAATCTATTGATATAAAAAGAGGAAGTGACAATAACTGTTTTCTCTTGCAGGTGGTGATTACCATGGGACGTATATTATGCACTGCTTTGGGGTCCATGGTATTCATGATACAGCAGAGGAACAAGGTTGTGACAGTGCACAAAAGGGAGAAAGCCACACTAGCCTTATGATTTCCAGATAATCATGCAGGACAGCCTACGTAGTTTGGGTACAGGCAGAACTGCAACCAAGGTGGAAACTTCTGCAGCACAAGCAAGTCTCAGGAGCAGGAACTTGGACTGAGGGACCCAAAAGGGGCAGTGTGCTTACATTATAGCATGCATTTAACAGTTACTTTAGCAGATCATCAAAACCTACTACTGCTCATGAGTCTAGCTACTATGCCAGGAAAGTGACTGAGATTTTGACCTTTTCTCTGAAAGTGATTAAGAACAGGTAGAGTACCACCACTGCTTCTGAACATACTGGCATGTAATAATACTTCATATTCTAGAATGAAAGCAAGATGAACCAGGCTCAGAAATGGAAGCAGGATCTGACAATGGACTAATGATAAGTTCAGAATATCATATAATGTACAATAATATTACAGATAGCATTTGGTACTCTACGCTGAATGCAACCAATTTTACATTCCCACGGCAGCTCCATCATGCAAAATGTGTGTGTGCGCATCTGTAGGCAAACAGTAGTAAATGTAGTGCAAAATTTCAGATAATAAATGGATGGAGTGGAACTGGAGGAAATTTAGTAGAGGAATAATACAAGGAGTTGGGGCACTGGGCACATCAGCATGAAATCATATGCTGCTCTCACTTCACTTTCCTTAGAATCATGACATCTATCATTTCATGATCACTTTCACCCGAATTGCTTTTAAGTTTCAGATTAGCAACCAATCTGAAATTAGCAACCAATTCCTGTCTGTTAGATGGAATTAAGTCTAAAATGGCTATCCTTTCAGTTATTTTACTCCATTGTGTGAAACAAGAAATTGTCCCCAATATATCCAAGAACTTGTGGACATGTTGTACTTTGCCATATTAGTTTTCCAACACTTACCTAGCACAGCTGCTAACTATGATCACTGAAGCCTCTGCGTAACTCTACAGATTGTAATTAAGTCAATAATGTTTGCTTTATGGTTATTTCTCCAACCCCACTCACCCATTTCATTGTCTCATCTACCTCCTGTGTCTTGTCATAACTTTAACTGTGAGCTGAAATAGAGGTTGTCTTTTTACTATGTGTTTGTACAATACCTAATACAAAAGGGTTATGAATTCCTCACTGTTGCTGACAGCTATTACTGCAATTCAGTATAGAAAACAAATTAGCCAGTCATCTGTTTCAGCATATTTGTGTGTTCATCTTTTTTTCCTACACCTTTTTTCTGCATAGCCAAGAATAGGAGGAGTTGACAGATAGCTTACTGTACAAATGAGAAACAGGCTTAAAGAGAGACCGGGAGTATATGGGTGGAGGGGGATTTGGTCTGAGAATGAGAACACCTGAATTTTCATTCCAGCACTAACAATCATTTCCTCTATGATCTTAAGAAAATTACTTAATCTATGTGTGTCAGTTTTATCATTAGTAAAATTGGAATAATACTCACTTACCTCCCAGGTAAGTTGTATGGAGTCACATGTTCCTATTGTATAGTCCTTCAAAAGTACTGAAATCACTAACTAATAGCAGTAGTGTTCTCCATACCTTCCAGAGGTTAGATGGCTCAGCTCCTTTAGGAAAAGAATGGTTTCTTCCTCCTTGGCATTAAAAGATACTGTGTGGATTGGGTATGGGCTGTTAGAAACCTTCTGCAAGAGTAGCTGCTTCATGTCCTTTGGAAAATCACCCACAGCAAAGTAATAAACAGCTTCAACCTATGGTAGATACATTATGCATAGTATTAAAAGAAGAATAGGAAGACTTATTTTGTGTACAGCTGCTTTGGATTTATTCTAACGCTGCATTGTGTTGACATGAGGAAAGAAAAATCAGAGCTGATTCATTATGAGAGCCATGAGGCTAACAGAGGTTGGGCTCTCCTCCTCACTTACCCTGGTGCAAAGCATAGGTGAGTCAGTGGAGTTACACTAGCATAAAACTGGCTGAAGTGCCAGATGAACCAGTCCCAATGCCATCACACCATAATAGCAGAGACAGAATATGGCACTAACTGCGGCACCTCAGGCACTGTGTATGTATTGGTAAATGATCACTTTTAAAAAGAAGCCACTCTAGCTCCCCATGTACACAGTAAGGAGCTCTGGACCACACACTAAGGGAAATAAGAGAAGATAATACTAACTGAGCCTGGGAAGGTATTCAAGAACCAATCTGTGTCTTCATGCTGCGGTGAGGTATAGCAGCACAGAAAAACAGATTCAATACTCCATTAGATCTAGTGATTGTTTCCTTCTTTGCCTTCTAAAGGGTATGTGTACCCTTTAAACTGAGGCTGTAAATCCAAGTTCAAGCATGCTAAAAGTAAAGTGTAGGTTCAGTTGCAAAGTGCTAGGAGAGGCTAGCTATCCCGAGAAGATACCTAACATGTTGGACCACTATATACTTGAGTACCAAGCCTGTCCCACCATTCACACTGCCACTGCTACATTATTTTTAGCAGAGTAGCTCAATCAGGGCTAGCACGTGTATGTCTCTTTGAACTAGGAATTATAGCCACAGCTCAAAATGTAGACACAACCTTAAAGAGCAGGGGAGATGACAGCTAAGCTGGGCCCTAGGGCAAGGTGGGGGGGTGTGAAGGAAACTGGCTCCATGCTCCCAGAAGCAGCGATGTTAAATTTAGATTAACTAACTAATTGGATAGCCAATGAGATTTCCATCAACTATTCGATTAGTCTATAAGGGCACCTCCACCTTTGAACTACCGAGCTCTTGCTACAGTTCAAAAGCGGAAGCTCTGCAGGGAGCGGGGGCTTCTTTTTGAAACGTACAAGCCCCATTAGGTCTCTTGTACATTTCAAAAGCAGAATCGCAGCAGAAGTGGTACAAGCAGAGACTGTTTCAATCCCCATTCGCACCATTTCCACTGTGCCTCTACCTCCCCTCCCCCCTGTGGAGACAGTGTTAGATAGAACTGACTTTTAAGCTGGCTCCCCCTAGCACTGGCTCCTGCTCCACCCCCTTGCTGCCTCTCTCTGTGAGAGGCAGCAAGGGGAGGGGGAGCGACTAGCCGCATCACTAGTCGACTAGCCAATAAGCTTTTGCTTATCAGCTAGTCGGTTACATCGCTATCCAGAAGGGGTGGGGCTGAGGGCAAGCAGCCCTTAGTGCTGCCCAGACAGCAGTGCCCCTCCCAGCACTGCCTGAAGCATACCGCATGGTGCCCCCACCACTCCCGACAGCCCTAAAAGCTGCCTGGAGCACCGTGACAGTGATTTAAAGGGCTCAGGGCACTGCTGTTGCCACAGCAGCAACAGGAAGCCTAGGCCCCTTTGAATTACCAGGCCCCAGGGCAACTGCCTCCTTTGCCCTCCCATTGGCAGGCCTGTTGATGGAGTTCTTGTACATTTCAAAAGGAAGCCCCCGCTCCCTGCAGTGGCTTCCAGTTTAATTTTCATATCAACTTACACCAGTCAATACTCATCCAGGGTGACATCCATCCATGGTAGAGAAACATTAAGCCTACATGACCCTTTATATCCCACTTAAAATAATTTCTTAAAGTCAAGACTCAAGTGGAACCTTGTATTCACCTTTTGCATATCCCCAGTGGAAACTGATAACTCAGTCAGAACTCGGAGGACCAAATGTACTACTGAATTTGCTTTAAGCAAGTTGTACCAGTTTTCACCAGAAATGTCTTTTGCCTAATGTGTCTTCACTGCCACAGGTGTGGGGTTGTTACATACTCTGTCTGTGTTCTTGGCAAACCAGATCATAGTATCCAATCAGTCTGAAAGACCACTCCCCACTCTCTTCCCCAGCTTCTGCAATGAATAGGCAGGGGAACACACGCCTAAACTCCAGAAACTCCCCGAGCCTCATTTACATCATAGATAGAACAGAAAAGCATCTCCATTAGCATAGAGTATAGAATAGAGAACAGCAATTCCAAGGCAAGAACCGCACTGAAAGCGGAAAAGCGTCCGTGCCAATCTAGATGCTCTGTTCCGAAAATGCTTTTCCGGAAAATCATGCCAATCTAGACGCAGCCTCTCATTATATCCTTCTGACCCTGCCTTATGTGATCAGATAAGGTTTGCTAGCCCTAACATTTGTAATCAGATTTAAGTTAGATTTAAATATTGTTTGGCTCCCCTTGGATGGTTACTTCCTGGAAATAAATAATTGTCATGGTTAAGTTGGTTGCTTCTCTCTCTTTCACTCCTCCACCCTTTTTATGTTTTTTTTTTTTTTTTTTTTTACTTTCCCCATTCATTCTACAACAACACTCCTTGCACCTAAGCTAAAGATCCCTGTAGCACCCAAATATCCCAGGGTTTTGCTCATCAAATGGGTTATTAGCAGAACGGTTGTTGAATGAAAGTGGGGATAAGAAAGTGCTGAACCTGGGAGGTATGAGAGGATGGCAGCTTAAAGTGCTTTTTAACCCAGACCACTGAGTTCAAGGGCAGATGAGGGTCACAGCCTGGCACTGTTGTCCAACCCAGCCTACTGAGCCCAGGGACATATAAGAGGTCAGCTTGTTGAGTGCTGATTAACCAGTCCTCTCATATGTGCACTGTGAAAGTGTGTTTTCATCTGATTCTAAGACTGGAAGAACCCAGTCTTGGGGAACTTAGGTCCTGCAGGATAGCTCCATTGGGAGAGAGTTGGCAGAAGGAAAAAGTAGAGCTCTGTTTGAGAACACACGTGACACAAGCAGCACATTGATAGAATTATCAACCTTCACCTCTGATTTCAGAAGAGTAATCCTAATAAATGAGCATACTCCAAAGAAATGGGTAAATCTGGTAGCAGAGTGGCTGGCTTAAATGATGGTATTTATATTTATATCTTTTGGCTTTCTTTTAATGAGTACCATAATATGGCCCTTTAAAAATAAATAGATTTAATGGCAAAAATACTATATATAGGGTATTGGTAGATATGGGCTGTAAATCTACTGGAAAGTAATACCTTCTAGAGAGCCACAAGTTCTCTCTTTAGCCCATCATAATTTATTAGAATAAAACTTGCAATCCAGTTCTTCCACTCAATATTCTTGAGTTTACTGGAGAGTTCAGAAGAGATGTATAAACTTACTGTATTATCACTTATGGCTTCCAACAGAGCCTCAGCAGAGCTAGTGTGGCTGATGGCTGGCATATGGTCCAACTTCCAGAGCCATTTAACAGCCGACTCTATAGAATATTCAGACAGAGGAACAGCTTTCTGTTGCCACTTCACAAGATCTTGTGCAGTGCTAAAAATAACATCAATGATTATTCAGGAGTAATAAGGAGCCACCAGCAACATACAACAGCAGAGCTCAAAATATTTTGACTTTATTAGACTTTTAATGATAATAAACCACCAATTCTTGAGGTTGTGGTATTCCATTGACAGGAGAGTCTAAAAACTAACAAGCAATAAGATAGAGAAGCAAAATACCTCAAAATCCACTACAAGTTTGAAAATTAGTTTCTAAGGCAGATATTACCTAAGCAGAATTAAGATAACTAAAGAACATAAAAGCAGCCATACTGAGTCAGACCAAAGGTCCATCTACCCTAGTATCCTGTCTGCCAACCAGGGATGGAA